AAACCCTAAACCGAAACCCTAAAAAGACCCAAACCTGCATGCAGAACCTAAGCCCTAAAAACCCTAAACCTAAACCCTCCACCCTAAACCTAAACCCTAAAAACCCGCAGACCTGCCTGCTACCCACGCCTCGTGGTACCACGGCCCCATGTTCTGAAGAGAACGCAGGTCACCACGTGTCAGGTATGGCTGCACGAGTTGTGCTACTTGAGTAGTAAAGGGTGCCATACTTGAACCACGTGCTGGACAAGGGTGGATTAGGGGGTGGGTAAGCTTAGGCCAACGGCGCACTAGCCCCCAAAGTCAGGCACACGCAGCTTGCGACTCCCAAGCTGCTTGGTTCTCGCGGTTTTTGCCAAGTCAGCTTCTCCCTGGTTTGGATCCCAATGGTTTGGGTGGTTCCCATTTACTCATTCAAAGAAGCAGTGGCTCAAAGCCCCAAACAGCCAATTCACACCACTAAGGGTTCAGGACTCCAACTGTGGCCATTGTGACTGGTGCATGACAAGGCTACGGAAGCGACACCTTCAGGCGACTGGCAATGCCCAATGAAGACACAGCTTGGAATTTACATGGGCGGTAAAACCTCCAAATAGGCTTTACTGGCCCGATTTATGCAGCAAACCCAAGTCGGGCGAGCCAAACCACGGATTCTCGGCGCAAAAACGTCGGCGTCCTGACTCAGGCGGAAGGCGCCGACTTGGGCTGCCAGAAGCAGCCAGCATAGACGGAGCATCATTTCACCTGAGACGTCGGATTTCCCCGGCGCTTCCACCTGCCATCTTAGGCAACCAGGGGAACCATGACTGACAACTAGGGGCAAAAGAGTCTGATGACTTACTATTGCGGGCTTTGACGGATATCACTGACGTGATCTATTTCAGCCAATTTCTAATTGATCGGCCAGTGATTCCATTCAATTTACAAAGGCTGGTGTCCAAGAGTCCAAACCTTCAAAACGCGCAAACCGGCGAGGCACGGGACAAGTATTCGGGCTCGGACTTTGGAAGGATTATTTCACTGTTGCTCACCTGAAGTCGGCCGCCGAGTCGCCTACACACGATGCATCATAATCCTTGGGAAATCACCTCAATTGGACCAACTCCTTAACAAGAGGAAAGGATCTCACAAATTGACCAGTCAACCCTTCGTTTGCCGGGTTTCTCATGCAATGGGCCGGGAGCAAAACCCACTGAAAAAAAGAGCATAAACAATTGCTTGCCCCAAACCTACCAGAAGTTCTGCCATTTGTCAGGGAGTGCACCGTTGAACATCCTGTTCGGCCTCACTGCAATTGTGACCATTCCCGGCAGATTTGATAAGAACATGGACCCCGGTCTGAGCCTGAGACAACCAACTTGATCTGGGCGCAGCAAAGCCGAGGCGCGTGGACTAATAGATTGAGCACACAACAGCGTGATTGTCGAGCTGCAAACAGCTGCAAGGGCCTATGAGAGCGCAAGGACCGGAACAACTTGTAGAAGTTCAATTGATTCCTGAAATGGATCCTTGGCTGCTGACAGCAGTCAACCCAATTATACACTCGCGGTTCTAACCGATGTGTTTCCTCTCTCTCTCTCTTTTTTGTTTTTTCTTTTTTCGGGGGGTACGTCAGTCTGGAAGGGTCTTTTGGCAAGGGCCCATTTGACATTCGCAGACTCGACTGAGAACAAGCAAGCTTTTCGAAAGTGGAAGGGCTGAAGCGGCCAGGCAGAGTCAGGGTCACTGGTTTGTGTTCCTATGGGTTGGTGCTGAAAAAACACGGCGTGGGGTCCCTACGGGAATCTGTAAGCCGCTTCCCTTGAAAACTCCCAAGGTCGGATGGAAGGTCGACAAGACCTCTCCGGAAAGAATCCCAAAAAAGGGCACGTGTCCAAGCTAGCCCCTGTGTCCAATTCACTTTTTTGTTGTCAACAAAGGGAGGACAGGCCCCTCGGACAGCCTGCATCGATCTGCCAATTGGAATTGTGCTTCGGAGAATGTACATTTATTACTTGGATAGCGCTAAAAGTTGGGCTCCGGCGCAAGCTCAAAGCCAGCAAGATGACAATCTTGTAGCCAATGCTAGCTTGTTCGGACAAACCTTGCAGGTGTACGGCATTACTTTGTTGTGGCCCAACGCCTGTACCCATATGGTGGACATGTGGGTGAAGCACATCGAAAGCAAAGCAGGTGATTTCTTGAGCCGACTTCGGTTTATATACATGTGGATGAAAAATGGCACAAATCCTCCACTCAGGTTGAATCATCCCCTACTCTACTAATTCACTCACTACTTTCACCCTGTCGCATTTTTTGGGGCTCGCGGGGAAGTGCCCCAAAACGGCCCAGCAGCTCTGCGGGACTTACTGGGGGGACCCCGCTCGCCGCAAACCATGATTGGCTAAGACCCCATAGTCTGCTGAGAAAAGCATACACACCCTGGTGTCAGTCAAAAGATCCGCCAGCCAAACTTGGCTTCGTAACGCCTTGTTGGTGTCTCAATCTTCTCCTGTACAGAGTCCACGGCCAATCAATATCGAACCAGCTGCGTTGACCGCTTCTGAGGGATATGTGAACCACAGCCAATATTGATGGTGTCGCAAATTGACAAGGATGTGAGCACACCCCATTTTCTGACAGTCATTTGAAGCGTGTTGGCCGTGTAATCCCCTTCGCCACAGTGGATGGGTGGTAGATGTTCACCGTTACTCATGTGAACACCCCACAATCATTACAGGCCCTGGGTTTGAAACCTCACACACAAATCATAACCTTGAATGCGATGTTTTCCACACAGTCCATTTTTGTCTGCGCCAGCAGCGAAAGGCGCAGCTGTTGGTCTTTTCCAGCCAAGAATTCGCGTCCTTTGCCGGCGAAAGGCCTAAAACGGACCGGCGAGGCTGGCCAGTGTTCAAATACAATGTTCGTGGCCCTCCGGTCAAGCTAATGGACGCCAACTCGAAGCAACCTCTTTGAAGACATATTTGAAGACATCTTTGCTGATCAGCCATGTGTTGTGGGGAGTTGAAATTCAAAAGTGACATGACCCTTCATGGACCAAACCCAAGAAGCTCACTTCACGTGCTTTACTTCATAGTGCATGCTACAAATCACGGGGTCCGACCATATGAAGACTCATGGGACAGTTGGGTGGGGCCTCGTGTGGTCTGTAGATTCAGGGTTCGGGTCCCGTTTCTCGCAGCTTGCATTTTGTCTGACCCTCTTGAAGCCTCCGGACTGATCGGCCAGTGCTTACGGGTCAAGATGCCTATTTGGGAGGGTGAACCCAGCATGTCGCAGGCGTTTAGGCTGTTGCCAAGGTATACTGCCTGATATGTTCAACAGCTGCACATCCGAGCAGCTTGTTACCGGTTGATGCTTTGGTTGTGGGGTCAAGTACCTGCACAGTTGGATTCAAGCTGGGGCTGTCATCCCCAACCAATCGGAACCGCCGAGGGTGGAACTTGCTTCCCCCAAACCAGTTGGTGGTTTGGGTGGGTGTTTTGGAGCTTAGAGGGTAGCTTCCGATTTAGCTGGGGGGTTCAAATCCCCAAATCCAAAAAGCCCGCCAGAAAACAGCACGAGTGGAGGTGATGGAACACCTTTCGAAAACACAAGAGCCTCAGCTCTTAGCGCCGGCGCTTGCTACGAGCCTGTCCGAAAGTCCGTCTCGAACCTTGGGCATCCGTCGGAACACCCAAACTGACCCTTGACAAACATGGCACGGCTTGGTGCACAGGCTCGAGTTCGGCTCCCTTCCAACCACCAGCTAGTCTAAGAAGACCTTTCTTTGGTAGTCGGGGCCAAGGTGCACCACCGTGTTTGCTGAAGGGCAACATGGGCCCCAAAAAGATCCCCCACAGAAAAGGAGAATAGGGCTGGGGTGCAATTTGGTAGATTCCTCTCCAGCCCACGAAAGTGCCCCCCCAACAGATTACCACAAAAAAGGAAACGACTCCAAAAAGATTCAGCCGAAATAGGACATAGCAACCCACGGATTCCTCCCACCAAAAGCTCAATGTGACACTAGATTTGTCCAAAGAAGGTAAGAAACACAAAGCAACCCTCTCAGGCAAAGGAGCAAACAAGAACCTTGTTGGTTGAACTCAAAGGAATGCAGAAAAAGAACAAGCAGCAAACAGGGCTGGGGAAAGTCTGTAGAAGACCCAAAAGCTGGGCCCCGAGACTTTGGACTGATCTGACTTAAGACAGCCCCATCCCAAAAAGAAGCACCTTCCAAAATGGCTGTAGGTCAAAATGTACCAAAAAATGGCACCGCAAATGGAACCAAAGACTAAATCCTGCGGTTTGCCCCAGTCGTTCCATTCAAACCACACCCAAATGGTTGCATTTTGGTACATTTGCCACCCAAATGTGTAATTTTGAACCACACCCAAATGTTCTCCGGAGGGTTCACGAACAAAATCCAGGTAGAGGACGTGGATTCCCCACCTAAGTTTCTCGACGCCCCTTCTTGGGCTGACTTTTAAGGGACATCCAAACAAACGCTACTGGAAACTGAGGCATCAAATGAGGACAGAGCACATGTGAAACACATTTTGTGTGGTAAGATCAATGCCCATGCGGGATGTGAGCATGTAGGATTCTAGCTTCCAGGAGAAACGTGCGAAACGCCCAGCTTTTCATGGTGCCCAAAGGGTTTGCTCTTTCTGTTGGTCGAATGTGGACGGGAAGCCAGGGAAACCCCTGCCACCATCAAAATAAAGCCCCTACAGCTAGCCAAACAAAACCGCCGGACAGTTAAGTGTGCGAGAAACAAAACATCCTATACTTTGGAAGGTGCGCCCAAAAAAGCGAAGCAGACCTTAAAAGAGAACCTTACGGAAACCTTGTTGGTTGATCCTAAGGCGCAGCGAAGCCTCAACAATTGCTGCTTTGGGGGCTCGATACCAACTTTCAGGAGAGTCCTCCTATTCTCGGAGCAGATGTGCCACTCCGGAAGAAAGAAAAATAGAAAAGGCGGAGCTGCCCAACAAAAGAAGGGGCATGTTTTTGAT